TATTAAAAAAAAAAAAAAAAAAAAAAATTAATAATTTCCTTGAGAGAGAAAGCACGCTGCCAAAAACCCTGCCTCTGCAGCATAAAGCCGGGGCTGTCTCAGCTGGGAGAAGAGCAGTTGCAGCAGATGTAGCTCGAAGATAGCAGCAGGGCCTGATTCAGGGCAGTCGTGCAGGACAGGCTGGTTCTCGTGGTGCCCTGGACCTCTGCAGGCAAAATGTCCTTAAACAGCCAAACATGAAGGTGACTACGTAGGAATGGAGAGCAGGCTGCAATCAGGTCCTGTGAGACTGCAACCTGGAAAATGTCACCCTGAGAGGAATTTGGGGACCGTAGATGTTGGTGAATAAAGGTGAACGTCCAGTGACCATGCAGCTAAAAAGGCAAGCATGGGTTGGTTTTGTTGGGGAGGAGTGCATAGCACCAGGGGTTGTCATGGAAGAGATGCTGCTCCTTGCTGCCCCTGTCCCCGTGAAGATGGAGGTACATGTCCTGGGGGATTAGTGCTCACCCATTGCCCACCACTTGGACTCTGCATCCCACGAGCCACCGGAGCAGGACAGACTGTGGGCTCCCAGCTCGGGTGGCTTTCTCCTCTCAGCAGTACAGCATCGGTGCCTGTGGGTGTCTCAGGGATGTTGCCCATCGCAGCGGCTCCCGTGCCCTTGACGCCCTGCTGGCACCCAGGGCTGTGGAGCCACCGGTTGGGTCTTGCCTGTCTGTTTGCTGGGGGACGTTCAGCAGCTTCTTCTGGTCTGGTGGCTGTTTTCCGTACGCTAATTGTCTCTGTGTGGAAGATTTAACTTGAGGCAGTTCATTAGCAAAAGCCGGTCCTTTACGAGCGCCGACTGGGAGCCCAGCCCTGCTCCTCTTGCCCGGAGTGGTGCCGGCACACCCAGATGCAGGTGTGCCCCTGTTTGGGTGTCTCGATTCCCAGGCCTTTGGGTGAGAAATTATCTGATGGGCAATGCCTGACTGTGCAGCTGGTGTGTGAGCGGAGGTGAATCCCCGGGATCCTGCCAGCTGTAGACAGCAAGCATCACCTCCTCCCGGGTGAGGCTGCCCTGTGCCGTCTGCCCCCGGGGAGGTGGCACTGGGATGTGGCAGAGCTGTGCGTGACAATGGGGACATGGAGGTGGAAGAGCAAGGATCATGTCCCTGGAGCAGCGTATGGTTTCTCTGGGCTTGTGCGTGCACCTCCCAGACCTTCCTTAGCAGGACATGCCCTACCAGGCGTGGAGGTGGTAGTCCTGTGCATCTCCACTTCTCTATGGGCGTTTGGGAAAGCCTCCTGCCCTTGCACGAGCTGGGGGCCCTGCTTTTGGGTATTGGAGCGTGCTGGTGTCTGCTCACCGATACACGCTGCAGATGGATGCCAGGGGCTGCCACCCCACACGCCCTGTGACACAGGTTCCTGTCGTACATCTCTACAAGAGGGGCAGCTGCAACATATGCTGGTCATGTCCTGCTCCGTGACACTGCAGGGACAGTCGTGCCTGCTCCTGTCTTCTTTCATACTTCTCTTTCCTTTGCAGATACTTCAGGTGGTGGTACAAGAAGACCCGCATAGAGAAGAAATCTGCCTTCATTGACCTGTTGTGTGCCGTTCCTCTGCAGCAGATCTATGGTCAGCCTCCAGTTTGGGCAGTGGGGTGGTGCAATGCCTGCTGTGCTGGGTGGGCAGAGATTCATGTGGGGTTGTCAAAGTGCTAGAGGGGAGGAGTGGGTCAAGGAGCTTCTGTAGTGTGGGTAGTGCTGAGGAACCCCCGGAGCTGCTTGGGGGGTCCTTGAGCCGCATCCCACCACGGGGAGGAATGGGAGTGCTAATTTCTGGTGTCTTTGCCAGGGTGCCCGCTGGGCGGCATCGGGGGAGGCACCATCACCCGTGGCTGGCGGGGTGAGTTCTGCCGCTGGCAGCTGAACCCTGGCATTTATCACTACGAAACAGTCATCGCCGACCAGGTATGTGTGGCAGGGTCCGCGAGGGGTGTGAGCAGCAGCCTGGGTGGTTGAAGCATGTGCTCTTGGGCTCATCGCATCCTCTTCATGTGTTCCTCTCCTCCCCAGTTCACGGTGTCCCTGCGTTGCAAAGGGCAGACGGTTTACCAGCAGGTCTTGTCTGTGGAGAGACCCGGCACTCTTCAGGGCTGGAACTGGGGCTACTGTGGCCACTATGCCTTCTACCATGCCCTGTACCCCCGTGCCTGGACCGTCTACGAGCTCCCAGGGCAAAATGTGGTGCTCACGTGCCGCCAGGTCTCTCCTGTCATCCCCCATGACTATAAGGTAAGGAGGTGGTGGCTCCGTGCTGGTTGCAGCCCATCCTGTAGGAGCACGGTGCCACACCACACTGCGGCAGTATGGCTCGTATGGAGCAGGGTGGCAGGAATGTGGCAGAGCTGCCTGCATGGGAAGGGGCAAGGATGGGCATAGCAGAGACAGTGCTGTGGTGTGTCCTGTTTTGGTAGCAGAGGCTTGGAGCTGGTGAGTTTTCTGACCCCTGAGCACCACCTGTGTGTCCAGGGATGATGCAGTAGAGGAGTTCCTTGTTCCTCCTGCCCAGCTCAGCATTGCCTGAAGACAACCAGGCTCATCACCTTGCTAATGTTCTTTCCCAGCTTGGTGTGTTCTGTCCGAAGACCTTGTCCTAGTGCCAGCTGCCGGCTGTGTAGCAGCGGGACCCTGGAAGGCTTTGCCCCTCCTGGGGCAGTCGGCACTGGAAGGGTTATCCCTCTTTCCTTGTGCTGAGCTCTGGCAGCTGCTTCTTTCCCTTCTGACCTGCGCTTTGGTTCTTTGTCCTGCTTGTTCCCTGCCTTCGATTTTGTCCAGTGACCATCCCAGCTACCATCCACCCGGAATAGCAGGTCCAGAGCTGTGGCTTTACTGCCCGGAGGGATCCAGTGGTAGCATTTTAGGAAACCCTCAGCCTGTACTTGTGGGTTGGTTTGTCAGCTGGGTGTTCCTGGGAGTCTTTAGCTGGCTTTTGCCTGCCATTCCCAAGGGAAGAGCTGCTTATTAGCTGGGCTTTCCCAGCTGGGCTTTCCCAACGTTTCCCCGTGTTTCCGCTCAGCAATGCTCCCAGGCAGGAGGAACCCCCACAGCAATGCGGAAGCTTGGGATGGCGGCACGGGATGCCTCGCCGTTCCTGCATGCTGCTCCTGCTCACCCCCAGCCCGGGGCGAGGGCGGCGCTGCCGACACGCCTGACCTTCCTCTTACACCAGCGAAGCACGTGAGCCTGTATCAGCTTGTTGAGCAGACAGGTGCTGAGACACCCGTCTGAGCCTTAAATGCTGCTATCTGTCTGTGTGTTGCCTGGTGTGGGCTTTTCTAGCCCAGGGCTAGAAAGCCCCCCCCCAAATTTTTCTGCTGCTGCTCCCCAGCTTGACAGCAGACTCCAACAGAGAGTTGTTCCTGGTGCTCTTGCTCCCGCTGCATCCCACGTGGTCTCCCCAGCAGCGGGAGAAGTGATGCTCTGATGGCACCAGCCCTATATGCAGCGTTGTCTGTCTCTGCCAGGACTCCAGCCTGCCAGTGGGAGTGTTCATCTGGGAGGTGGAGAACGGCAGGGACGAGGAAGTGGATGTCTCCATCATGTTCAGCCTGCAGAACGGCATGGGGGCGAAGGAGGACAGGAGTGGAGGCCACTGGAACGAGCCCTTCGCCTTTGAGAAGGAGGGCGAGCGGGTTGCTGGAGTCCTGCTGCACCACTGCACGCGTGTGAACCCCTTCACCTTCGCCATCTCTGCCCGGGAGAAGGTAAAGGGCTGGCACCTATGGTGTTGCTCCTGCTGGGGCTCTCCAGCCCTGCTGAATGTGGGGGTGCCACTTCCAGGCAGCGGGTGAAGGATGGGTGTGCGATGGGGTAGGGTCAGCACCGGTCCTCAGTGGTTCCCTGACTGCTAGAGCAGGAGTGGGGGACATGACTTCCCTGAGGGCATCCTCTTTGGAGTGGGTGCCAGGAGAGAAGCTGTGGGTGACGCTTGCAGGACAGCAGGTGAGCAGGTTTGGAGTTAGCCTTGCTGGGCAGCATGCAGGCAGTGAGTGTGGGGTCCCAGAGTTGTTGGGGGTGGGAGGGTAGGTGTGCATCTGCCCCTCAAAAGTACCAGTCCTTGATGATGCTCTTCCCTTCCCCAGGCTGGCACGGGAGTCACCCACCTCACGGCGTTCAATCCCGCGGGATCGGGTAGGGAGGTGTGGCAGGACCTCCTGCAGGACGGCAGGCTGGATTCCCCTGCTGGTGAGTCCCTCCATCCTCCGTGGGACCGGGTGGAGGGGGGGAGCAGGGCTGACAGGTGGCCACGCTGGTCACGGGCCACAGGGCACCCGAGCAAGGGTGGATTTCCCTTCCTTCCGGCTACCTTGGTGCTGTCACAAAAAGGTGATGTGGCTCATTCCCAGCTTTAGGCTGTATCCAAATTTTCCATTGCTTGTTACGCTGTCCTCACTGTCATTCTCCAAAAGCCATTTACACCACTTTGGGGCTGTTCTTGGTTATACTAATTGCGTTTGCCAGTATCTCGTTAGTCTGTGTAGTGTTGCACACTGAGTTGAGGCTTCTGCTGAGTAGCCTGGGTGATGCCCAGCCGCCTTCCCTCAGTTCCCATTGCCAGAGCTGCAAGCTGGGCCCTGTCAGATTTATTCTGGTGGGCGTTTAGCAGTCCTCAGGGGTTTGGTGCTGCCATCCCTTGCTGTCCTCTTGTTACTACGTGGGTTCCCTGAAGGTCTCTGGTATTTTCGTGGTACTTCTGCATCATCCTCAGTTGTCTGCTTGCTCCCTTGGCAGAAGCCTTGAAGGCAGGGTGGCGTCTCCCAGCCCTTGCTGCCAACCTCTTATTGCCATAAAAGGCGACCATTTGCCTAATGTGTCTGCTAGCTTTTGAACAAGGATGATGCTGACAAACTAGTGAGGCTGGTACTGGGCCGTTGCAAGATTTCTTGGAGCTTAAATTATGTAAATAAAGCGTTTACATAAATATTTCCGGAAAACTAAGCTTCCTGCCTAGATGCAGTCAGAACTCTCCAGGCTATTGGGATGTGGTTTTCCTTTGTGCGTGCCAGGCATTATCATAGTCAAGATCTGTGCTGCTGTTAAAATTGTTGCTCTAATGAGTTTACCTGGTACGCATGTCAGAACCAGCATATAATTATCCGGCTGCCTCAGGGCTTTTCTAAAATACAGGCACAGTTCAAGTACCCTGCAAAAAGCTGGAAACGATGACTGTCACTAGAAAGTCACAGTGTCTCTGCGTGCGGCGCAGTTACAAAGTCATGGGGTGCTCCGTCCTTCCCACTTGTGCCTGGTGGCTTTTCCTGCCTGATTTGTTCCTCTGCTTTGATGACTTAACTTTTTTTAACCCCTCCGCCCATGGCAGGTATTTTTTCCTGCTTGCAAAAAGCAGTTACTCACGTGCGGTAATGTCATCCCTTAACACCCTGCGGATGTACCCTCCAGGTTGTCAGGGCGCTGGGGCCTGACCGAATATTCTTGTCCCACTCAGGCTGCGTGGAAGCATCAGTCACCCCTCCTCCACAGGGCTTCCTTGGTCACTTGTGAGTATTTTTTTTGCTTGGCCCCGGCAGGTAAAAGCAACCCGACAGAGAAGGGAGAGGTGACGGCGGCAGCAGTGTGTGCCAGCTGCAGGGTGCCTGCCCGGGGACACAGGACGCTGGAGCTGGCCCTGGCTTGGGACATGCCCCGTGTTCACTTTGGCTCCAAGGAGAAGCTTCATCTCAGGTGGGTGGGTTGTCTCCGGTGGGGCTTCGCTCGTGTCCCCAAAGCCCCCTTCTCCCTGCCTCCGGGCTTGAGTGCTGCTTTGTCCCACCCACTCCCTGTGGCTATGGCCTTGCCAGCTCACAGAGGAGACCCTCTCCACAGCTCCTGCTCCTCAACACCCTTGCACTTAGCAGTCGTGTTATTCTGGTGTTCACTATAGTCCAGCCCCTCTCCCGTGGCCAGGTGGGCTTTGCAGCCTGAGCCCGCGGCGTACTCACCGAAAACCCGCTCGGCAGGCGGTACACCCGTTTTTTTGGCAGCGGAGGTGATGCTGCTCCTGCCCTGTCGCATTACGCCCTGACGCACTATGAGGAGTGGGAGAAGAAGATCGAAGCGTGGCAAAAACCCATTCTGGAGAACAGGTAGCGTAGTGGGGAGCATCTTCTAAGTGGCCTCCTGGGGGTGGTCAGAGCAGGAGCATCACCGCCTCGGCTGCTGTGGTTGAGGTTTCCCTCTTGCCTGCAGCCAGCTGCCTTCCTGGTACAAGTCGGCCCTCTTCAATGAGCTGTACTTCGTGACGGATGGGGGGACCATCTGGGTGGAGCTGCCCCCGGACTGCTGCGCTGAGGACCTGCAGGGGCCGGCGGGGGCTGCCCCCTCCCACCTCCTCCCTGTCCTGCGGGAGTACGGAAGGTTTGCTTATTTGGAAGGTAACTTGCAGGGACGTGATGGATGGTCCCAACTCAACCTTTCCCCGTTGCTGGCACCAGGTGGTTTTAACCTGCCGTGGGGATGCTTTTCACACCCTGATGGGTAGGGAGCATAACCCCTGACAGGACCAAGCCCTGTAGGATATGGCATGAGGTCTTCTCCAGACCCCTGGGGGCTCTGTGTAGAGGACAAAACCCACTTCTAACAGGAGCCCCTGCCTGTGCCAGGAAAGAGCCCACACTCCTGGGCCATGGGGGAGGGAAGACCTGCCCATCCTTTACCCTCCCTGTGGCAGGTCACCCATCCCTCACCATCTCCTCCATCCTTCTAGGCCAGGAGTACCGGATGTACAACACCTACGATGTCCACTTCTACGCCTCCTTTGCTCTCGTCATGCTGTGGCCCAAGCTGCAGATCAGCCTGCAGTATGACATTGGTGAGTGACCCAGGAGATCCTGGTCCAGGAGAAACTGGCTTGATGCCTGCTGATGTCTTCACCTAGGGAAGAGGTGGAGGATTTGGGACAGCATCTGCCATAGAAATCTGTGCTGTGGAGCTAGTATCTCCCTCCAGCTCCTCTGCTGGGCCCAGGACTTGCAAATCCCCAAAGTTTCTGCCTCTCAGCATCTCTCCGCCTAGTACTGGCATGCCTTCTTAGTTATAGGACAAGGAGGAATGGCTTCAAACTGGAAGAAGGTAGATTTAGATTAGATACTAAAAAGAAATTTTTCACCCTGAGGTGAACACTGGTGAGGTACTGGAACTGGTTGACCAGGGAAGCTGTGGAAGCTCCATCCCTTGTGGTGTTCAAGGCCAGACTGGATGGGTCTTTGAGTGACCTGGTCTAGTGGGAGGTGTCCCTGCACATCGCAGGGGGGTTACAACTCAGTGGTCTTCAAGGTCCCTTCCAACCTAAACCATTCTATGATTCTTGCCACACTGGGGTGCACAGCTGGCTCTGCCTGCCCTGGGGGAGTCCCTGCTCTTACCAGCTCTCTCCATCTCCTTTGCAGAGGAGAAGCATGGAGCTGTTTGCAGACCCTGTCACTTAGGCTGCTTGGTGGTGGCCTGACCAGTGGTGGAGCACAGTGCTTTGCTGGGCTGTGGGGTGGGCTGAGCCCACTGGGGTTCCCTCCCAGCCCTGGGTGTTGCCACCACCTTGCTTAAAGGGGTGGTGACAATTGCACCTCCCCTACTGAGGGGGGAGGCTGGGAGCAGCCTGGTGTCCCCTCACGCCCTTTGCAAAGGGCCATGATCTTGCACATGGAGCCCCAAAGGGCAACCTGGCACACTGGTGCCAGTGGCCCTGCCTGCGCCTGTGCTTGGAGCTTGCTTCTGCTGTGCCTGCTGCCTTTCTAATGTCTCTTGCTCTGTGTCCTCTCCAGCTGTCACGGTGGTGAACGAGGACGTCCAGCCCCGGCAGTACTTGATGTGTGGTCAGACAGCCCAGGTGAAGCTGAAGAACGTGGTGCCGCATGACATCGGGGACCCAGGTGAGGGGTCTGGCCGGGCCTGCTGGGGGGACAGAGGGGGTGCAGGGCTGATCACATGACTTTCTCAGGCTAATTAACTCCCAAGCTGTGGGAAAGAGATGTGGTGCATGGAATACACTGTTTTCTGGGAATAAAAAGCTTGGATGGTTTGGGGTGGTGATGAAGACCATGCTGCATGGAGCTTGTACAAGGGAGACAGAGGGATGCTGAGCAGTAGCGGGAAGGCTGCTCTTGCTAGAGATGGCACAGGGTGCAATGTGTTGTTTTAGTGCTGTTTGATCACGGCACCCTTGGGACCTTCCTCCTGGGTAGGAGAGGAGACGTTCGTTGCTTGCTGCCCTGCTGCATCTGCTCCTTCCTTGCTTAGCTGATGAGCCGTGGCAGCGTGTCAATGCCTACCTGATGCATGACACAGCCGACTGGAAGGACCTCAACCTGAAGTTTGTGCTGCAGGTGTACCGTGACTACTACCTGACACACGACTCCCTCTACTTGCGGGACATGTGGCCAGTCTGCCAGGTACTGGGAGGAGATCAGACTGTGGGGCATTCCCCCCTTCTCACTTCCCTTGGGAGCCGTGCGACATCCCGAGAGGATGGATGCTCCTGAGCAGAGCATGAGGGGCAGCCAGGATGCAGGGGCTGCGTGACCATCTCCTGCCTCTTCCACAGGCTGTGATGGAGTCAGAGCTGAAGTTTGATACGGATAACGATGGGCTCATTGAAAATGGTGGCTTTGCTGACCAGACATACGATGCATGGGTGGTAAATGGACCCAGGTGAGCAAGAGAGGCAGGTAGGGGTTGGAGATGCAGAGTGTGGGGTGGGAAGGTTGCTCAGAGCTGGGACTGCTGTCCCCATCTCTTGTGGCAGCTCTGTGCAACCCATGGGGCATCCCACGTTGCTGACACTGCTCTCCTTTCGCTCCGGCAGTGCGTACTGCGGTGGGCTGTGGCTGGCATCTGTTTGCGCCATGGGCGAA